TCTACCGTAATGGCAATTAGCCAGTAATGTTTTGGGGGACACCATTGACTTATAACTCCAACAGAGGTAACCCAGTCCTTGTAGTAGTAGGCATCCATGGGCATTTTAAAGGCCTTTAGTGTTACCTATCCTCCTCATATGCCCTCTACCCTGCCCCACCATCCCCCACCCCACTTAATCCTTCCTGTTCCATTACCCCTCTTTCCCCCTTTACATCACTGCATTCTATCCCACTTCCTTGAAAGCCCCTCTCCATGGCTCCTTACTAGTTTCCTGACCTTCTGGGTATTCCAAATGGAGCACACATATCTAAAGATTCAAAAGTAGCATCCACATAGGCGAGAAAACATGAGGCATTTGTCCTCCTGGGTCTGGGCCACCTCATTGTTACCTGCTCCATCCATTTGCCTGGAAATTTTATAATTTCATTTTCTTTAACAGTTGAATAATAGTCCATTATCTAAATGTACCACATTTTCATTATCCATTCATCAGTTGATGGACATTTGTTTCCATTTCCTGGCTATTTGGAATAGAGCAGCAACAAATATGGATGAGCAGGTATCTCTATAGTAAGATATAAAGTCTTTTTGAGGCTGGGTGTGGTGGCACGCACCTTTAATCCCAGCACAGGGGAGGTGGAGGCAGGCGGATCATTGTGAGTTCAAGGCCAGCCTTGTCTATATAATGAGTTCCAGGCCAGCTGGGACTACAGGGAGACCCTGCCTCAAAAAAGACCAAAAAAGTAAAGTCCTGGCCAGGGGTGGTGGTGCACACCTTTAGTCCCAGCACTTGGGAGGCAAAGACAGGTGGATCTTTGTGAGTTCAAGGCCAGCCTGGTCTACATAGTGAGTTCAGGTCAGCTGGGACTACAGGGAGACCCTGTCTCAAAAAGATAAAAAAAAAAAAAAAAGTAAAGTCCTTTTTGTTTGACCCAAGAGTAGTATAGTCGCATTAGTTAACACTCCCGACTCAGTTGAATCTAATTTTGCCATAAAAACCAACCATCACAGACACACAGCTGATAAAGAGCTTTCCATTCTGTAGACTGCTTCTTCACTCAAATAATGGTGTTCTTTGCTATACAGAAGTGTTTCAGTATCATGTGGTCCCATGTGACAAGGGGAAAAATGCTCTGGAAACTCATATGGAACCCTAAAAAAGCCAAGATAACCACCACAACCCGGTATCGTAAAAGAACTGCTGGAGGGTATCTCCATCCCTGGTTTCAATTTATACTACAGGCTCATATCAATAGAAAAGTAATCTTAAAAGAGTGAGGTGGGGGCTGGACAAATGGCTCAGTAGTAAAGAGCACTGGAGGTATCTCCATCCCTGGTTTCAATTTATACTACAGGCTCATATCAATAGAAAAGTAATCTTAAAAGAGTGAGGTAGGGGCTGGACAAATGGCTCAGTAGTAAAGAGCACTGGCTGTTCTTGCAGAGGACCCAGGTTCGAGTCCCAGCACCCACATGGCAGCTAACAACCATCTGTAACTCCAGTTCCAGGAGATCCGATGCCCTCTTCTGACCTCCACAGGCATTTCACAAGGGTGTACTTACCTACATGCAAGCAATGCATGCATACACATGCAATAAAAAATAATAATAAAATATAAAAAAGAATGAGGTGACAGACATGCTTTGTTTTTTATATACTGTATATATGCAAACTATACTGTAAAAACATATACAATTATGAAAAATACAAGGGAGAAAAAGACAACAATGAGGCTACACTTAACATAAAAATATTCTTACAATTAATAGTTTTTTAATGAAATCAATAACCCATTACTTTACATGATAATTTGATATTTTAATCTATAGAAAGGAAAAAAACAATCTCAGAAGAGGAAGGAATATGGGATTCCTCCCTCTCAAAACTATATGAAATCCATCCCTAGAAATTGTGAATGACAGACCTTCTGTCATGAGACAGTCAGGATCCACAAGAGTCCAGCTGGAGACCACCTTGAGGTCCCTTCGCACGGACACATTGAGCGCCTCTTTGTTGTGCAGGGCCATTCCACCTTCATACCCTTTCACACCAAATGGGATGAAAGCCCAAGAAAATGCTTCATACCAAAAGAAAAATAACCTCCCATAGTTAAAACCAGCCTACTCTAAGTAAACCCAAAGAACAGTCAGCTCTTATCTTCACTGTCTGAACACTGAGTATGAACTCACTGTACAGGCACATGCCCAGACATGTGACCACAAAGCAGCAGGACTAGGCTCCCAGGTCCATTAGGCACTCAGCTCAGGGTTTTGATCCCACGGAGTCTGCAGATGCACAAAGACTCACACTGAAATGTCAGGGCCAAGGATGGGCCCTAGGGAGGCACCGTTTCAGGGGAACAGGGGAGTAATGGAAATTCTGCCCCTGGGAGAGAATCATCCACAGCAGAGCCTGAGTTGAGCTCCTCTCCTGGGGCACTGAGAATCTCCTCCACAGAGGGAGAAGGTCTCAGGGGCACAGAGAGCCCCTCAGGTCCACTCACCATGGAGCAAATGGTCAGAGAAACATCACCAGATGTAAAGCTGAAGTATGGCAAAAGAGTCCCTGAGAAGGAAGCTTTTTGGAAGGAGAAAATGTGGGATCTGTTGCTCATATTATAGAAGGAGACATCGCCTTCACTGTAGTCCACGAAAACCCCAACCCTGCAGGGATCCTGTTTAAGGGATAATGAAGTCCAGGGTTCAGTATAGGCCCAATATCCAGTGCCAGACAGTCCAAAAATCCAAAACCCATTTCGAGGAAGCTTTAAGTTCCAGTCTTTCTGTTGTTCATCTTTCCTACAGACCCCCAGAGTCCACTTGCTGTCTGTATTCTTGACCTCAACCTCCCAGTAACATCTTCCAGACAAGATGCCCTCAAGGCCCAACACACTGAAGGTATCATTCGAGAGCATGGACGTGTCCTTGCAGGTCACAGTCATTCTATCCTGAGAGACAGCAAGGCTGGGGTGGGCAGAGTCTGGATCCAGAGTGACGGGCCCTGCAAGGAGAGTTAGCAATCAGGCAAGGTCCTCCCCAGCCCCAAACAAGACCAGAGCTGCCCCCACCTCCACCTCAAAGCCACTTAGCTGCTGGGGGAGGGACAAGCCCCCCAGATAAGACCTTTGTGACTCAAGCCCATGGCTTGCAAGCTGGGGATGGACCAGAAGGCTGATTCGGGTTAGCTATACCACTGGGTCCATTAGAACCAGCCCCAGGTTTGTGACTGTCCCCTCTGCCACCCACCCACCACCACTGAAGGAGCAGCATCTGAATCACCACGGAGAACTGAAGGCGAGTACAGAGCAGGGGAGAAGCACTAAAAAGAACACAAGTCACTCACAGGCCTGGAACCGCTCCTTCCGCCAGTCTACAAGAGAACCACATGTTATAGTGAGGGTTTCAGAGACTGTACACACCCGGTATTCAGCAGTCTTCTGAAATGCGGTGATGTGGGACTGATGGAGGCAACCTGTTTCTCAAATATGCACACACACACACACACACACACACACACACACACACACATGTGCAAACAACTCCTTCCGATGAAATCTGGTTGGGCATGATGGCCCACATCTTCAATCCCAGTACTCGGGAGGCAGAGGCCAGTTTCCAGGAGAAATGCTGCCTGAGACGACCCAAAAATGGCCACGTCTCAGCTCCAGACCTGTGAGTGTGCTTGATACATTTTGAAGGAATTTACACCAATGTGATGAGGATGAAGGCTTTGGAGATGGAGAGACAGATTGGGTGGGTTATCCAGATGGACCACAGCCAATCATATGAACTCTTGAAAGCATAGACCCTTCTTGACTGTGATCGGAGAAACATCACAGAAGCAGACTACAATGCTATGTTCTAGCTATGAAAAACTAGATCCACAGACTAAGGAACGAAAATGGCCTAGAAGCTGGACAACAAAGACTCTCCAAAAAACAGCATACATGTCCACTCCTTATGAGGCTTCTGACCTATAGTACTACAAGAAATGAATAGATATTGGGTTAAGCCACTACTTCGGGGGTGATTTCTTTTGGCAGAACACAGAAAGCTAACTCCCCACAGATGGTTCGGTGTTACATCCAACATATAAGGTCCCAGCCTAAGCATGAGGTTCCCCCACCACCTGCACAGAAGTTGCTGAAGACCCAGAAAATCTCTCACACGCTTCTGAATGAAAGAGAGACAAAGGATGGTTGGGTGTTACATCCAACATATAAGGTCCCAGCCTAAGCATAAGGTTCCCCCACCACCTGCACAGAAGATGCTGAAGACCCAGAAAATCTCTCACACGCTTCTGAATGAAAGAGAGACAAAGAGTTTCCCAGAGAGCCACAAGACCAGGGGAGGTCTAGGTCAAGATGAAGATGCCATACAATATAGCACTTTGCAACCAGCAAATGGGACATTGACATGGACTTCATCTTGGGGTCATGGTGATCATTAACACAAGCATCCAGATGGGACCTGCCTCTACCCAACATATACTACCCTAATGTCTTATAAACCAGGTTTGGCTACCCTTTCCAGAGTGAGGACCTGAAATAACTAGGAAGAAAGCACAGGTTCCTTCCTCCTAAAATCCACATTCTCCTCTCTAAACTTCAGACTCTAGGAAGAAGAAAGGAAGCTTACAAACTAAAGAAAATCCATCTGTATCAGCATATTCCAAAATGTCTTCATACAGGCCTTTTGCCTCTCACAAGATGGAGACTTGGGAACAAGTTAAGAGCACTGACTGGGTTCAATTCCCAGCACCCACATGGTGGCTATGAACCGTCCCTAACTCCAGTTGCAGGGGAATCCGAAGCCCTCTTCTGACCTCTGAGGCACAGCACGACACGGGTGCGCTCACATACATGCAGGTGATACACTCATACACATAAAATAGAAATAATAAATAAAATATTTTTTAAAAAAGAAGTAACTAAGACATGTGACACATTATTCTCACACAGATTTGAGTTTGTGAACAACATGTCAGCTTATACAGATCCAATCACAAAGATTAGCTTTTCCATCTTTATTGAGTTCCTTGATGGAAATGAGATCATACATATAAAATGGTTGTGAAGACCCAGAGAGCCCTTTGAGAAAACCAAGTGACACAATCCTCATGCATAAGATCCCCGGACCCCTTGAACTCTATGGCTCAGCTCTCTCTGCCTCTCAGGGATCTATATCCCACATGTAAAAAAAAAAAAAATCCAGAACAGAGCCAGGTGTGGTGGTGCACACCTTTAATCTCAGCCTTGAGAGGCAGAGACAGGGAGATCTTTGTGAGTCCCGAGGTCAGCTTGGTCTACATAAGAGTTTGAGACCAGCTTGGGCTACAAAAGGGTCAAGAACAGGACAAGGACGTGTTCCAGAGACTCACAGAGCACACAGATCCAAACTCCCTAGGGCTGCAGGACCCTCTGAATGGCCTCAGTTGCACTGGGATCCCCTCGGCACACTCTGTCCCATCAACTACCCAAAGTTGAGATGGTCTCATTATCACAAGCAAATTCAATTGGATACTTCAGAGAATGGCTTAAATACAACTATAAGACTTTGATGAAACATCTTTAAGTGATGTCAAAGAGTTCATCATATTTCTGCACACAAATAACATTTCAACCACTATCATACTCACTAATTCAAACCGTGTGGGCCGTGTGGGTGTGAGTCCCAGCCTGTCTTGTGCCACTCTAGGCCGTCCAAAATGTAGACACGGGAATGTTGGGCACTTTCCCCTCCTTCTCATCTCCTGTTCCCTCTGAAACTTTCACTTTTCATCTCTGATTTTCATCCTAACGTTTCATGGGCTAACAACTTTAACTTGTCTGAGTGTCTCTGTTACACACACACACACACACACACACACACACACACACACACGAAGCTGCAAGCAAAAAGCCAAACTCAATGAGGAAAAGGAAATTCTCCCAAAGAGGGAGATAATGATTACAAACAAATCTACATTACATTTAGATTCCTGTAACACAAACATGAACACAGTACACGTGAATTAGATTGCACTTTAATTCAAGGTGAACCATAGGCCCTTTAGCAAGACCAAAAATATCCTAGAGACTCTGAATCCCAGACAGAACATCTGCCCTAACACACCCAATTCCTAAGCAGCCAGGCAGGCTTCGAGAAACAATGCAGCTAGGCCCACAAAGCTGAGAGCGAGCGAATACAGAAATGACCAAGAGCCCAGCGAACGAGCAAGAACAGGAAACCAAAACTCAGCCTAAGCCACAGGAATTTCAGTGTAAAACGGATGCAGAACCAAGGACTTCTTCAGGAACGTCTGAGTCCTAAGCTGCCCAGGTTGGTTTATGAAATTTCCCAGATACCAGCAATCCTGATCCCCATGCCATGGCCCTGATCTATCAGTCTCCACTCACAACTGAACTCTCCACAGTCACTGCACCAACAAGAAGTGTCAGCTGAACCAGGTTCTGGCAAAGGGTCATGCTAGCCCTGAAAACCACCCACAGTAGAAAGCAGGCCCAGTATGGAGGCTGAGCAGTGACTCCCAAAACTCCATCAGTGACAAAGACAGCAGAGAAATCCATCTCATTGTGGGGTGGAGGACACTGATACAGATGGGGACAACAGAGATTGCGGGGATGGGGACAGAGCAGGTATGAGGATCACTGTTGTGGGAACTTTTCCTCGGGAGAAGAACAAATGTCTACTCCCCACAGACAGGACGCTTACAACAGACCAAACAGTTCCACTCAAGTCTAGCTTAGTGAAACAGCAAGTGGGGTTTTTACAGGAGTATGAACAAGGTATGGGCCGCTGCACTGCTGAAGGAAAAAAATCTCCCCCAGCAGCTGTTAATGGATAAACTATCCTTGGGAAGGGGCGTGGCCTCTTAGACACCCCCCCCCAGCAGCCTTTATCTGCCTATAAATCTTGGGCCTTGTGAGTGCTCTCCCTTAACAACCATTAATCATCTGTAAATCCTTGGGAAAAGATGGACCTAGTGAGCACCTCCCTTCTACATGCAGGGAAGCTAACGGACCCAGTCTTGTACAGGCCTCCTTCAGGTAATCAAAGCCACGGAGAGTTCTACAGAGCAACACCCACCCAGAGCACGGAACACGGCATTCCACAACAGTCACTTACCTGCATATATCTGAGCCTTCTTCCAAGCTGAAAGAAAACACACCCTGATGAGAACACAATCAGAACAGCCCTTCTCAGAAGAAGGCTGACCCTCACCTCCCCAATTCTGAAAGTGAGACTGTGCCCAGGAGGAGAAAGTCCCTAAGGAGCTAGGCTCCTACAACATGCAGAGACAAAAAGAGTATTGTGGGAAACTCCCTGGACCACAGGTGAGGAAGATGGCATTGTAGACTGCGTTTCCCACCATCACACTGCTGTGTAGCTTTTGGCTGACAAATAGCTGCCTCTGTCTCAAAAATAAAAAAATAAAAATATGTATATTCTATCACTATTCCGTTTTAGTGTTAACAATCAAAATTATACTATATAGAAAAATACTTTAGAAAGTAAAATATAAGATATTCCATAATTGTCAGCAATCGTTGACAAAGATATTGGAGAAGTGGCAAAAAGGAGAATGTGTTTAATAACATGGTTGTGAAGTGAGTTCTGGGGTAAAGTGCCCAATAGGCCTCGGGTAAAATATTTCTAGAGGTTGAAATCACTATCCAAGGGAGCAACCAGCCCATTCTATCCCTGTCTCACAGGCGACATCGGACCAGGCCTCCCCCATCACTTTCATCAGTACCTTAAAGAGCTGAGGGAACAGACTTCCTAGAGGGCTACTAGGGAGGGGGTGGAGGTCATATGCCTGAATTTCATGACCACATTTATTTATAAACCTCTTTTAATTAAATCTCAGTGTCTGCATTATGGCTCCCAGGTATACAGATTTGTCTAGACACATTGGAGGCTAATGCAACAATATAGCCGGCAAGAACTGGTTGCAATAAAACCCAGGGCACGTGACACACCAGAAGTTCCCATCAAACCCAGGTCCAGATCTGAGAAAGTCAAAGACCAGGGTTCTATCTCCCACCAGCTTCTACTCATGTCCTTGAAGAGGTCCAACATGCCCCTGCACAGACAGACCCAAGGAGAGAAGGCGCCTGTGAACGTATACCACAAGGAAACATGCAACTTTAGAGCTGTCACTCACCAGCCATGTAAGCTGCCTTCCTCTTCGCTACAAAGTAAAACACAGGAGATGGGTAAGATACATGTGAACCAGAGCGTCGGCTGCTAAGGGGACACAGAGGGTTCAGGGGAAAACATTACTTACCAAGTTCTGCCTGGAGAGTATCTGGAAAACAAGGAGCCATGGCGTGAACCCCCATCCCCCCAAAGGAAAGGAAAGTCTGAGATTTGGAACACACACACCCCCAAAAAATGAAACATTTTTTCATTTCCTATAAGTCTAAACTACAAACCACCCAAGTCCCAGAACTCCAGATGTCCTCCCTGAATTTCCCTGGCCATCTGCTCTGATCTCAGAGCACTGTCTTCCTGGAGAGCTGGCCCGAGCATGTTGTTCTGACTTCCAAGTCTGTACTTGCCATCCATTGGCCACCATCCTTGTCCCCTGTCCTTCTTACCTATGGACTTCAACACCCTCTTCTTTTCCTGCTGGTGCTTCTTCCAAGAGCGCTGAAGACTCTTCCTTTCCTTCTTCACCTTCAACTTTATGGAATATTCTCTTTGGATAAAACAGCCAGCCCCAAAAAGGAGAAGTCCCATCATGGTCAGGATCACAGCAAAAGTCAACTTCCAGGGAAAGGCCTGAGAAAAGAAGGGCTCTGAGGCCCAGGCAGAGACCCAATCAGGTGCACACCTCAGGACCGCCAGCCCAGCACACTCCAGAAAGATTATCCCCTCCCCAAGCTCTACTGGGAGTAAGGACACCCCTCACCTGGGATGGAAATGGCCATGGCCTTGTCCTGGCCCAGGATGGGGTTGAGGATGGAGCAGGTCACATTCCCCACAGAGCTGTCTCTCACCATCAGCCTGGTCTCCACACTGAACAGCTCTTGCGTGTCTTGGGTATAAGTCTCAAAGAATGCCTGGAGTGTCTCTCCACTGGGGTCTATCCACTGCACCTGGGGCTTTGGGAACCACCCCAAAGCGGTGCACACCAGAAGCACTCCTCCATCTTCTGGACCTTGGATGTGCACTTCAGGGACAGAGCCCAACCCTGCAGGTAGATAGCTGTGAAGCTGCTGGGAGCCACCTTGGGCTCAGGGACCCCAGAAAGGCCTACAGGTCACACATCTCCAGGGGCAGTTTTCCACATGCATTATGGGGTTCACTAGGAAGAGCATCTCTTAGGTGGTAACAAAATCGGGGCCCTACCACTGAAAACAAAAGAGAACAGAAACCCATAAGGAGCCACAGAGCACGAGCTACTCTTGTATCAAGCACAAGATCCAGGGCAAAAACCAAAAGCTCTTGGGTAGAAACCGTCATTCCATCTCTCCATTATCCACACTCTGCTGTGACCCCCAAGAACAGAGGACCCGCACACACCCCTCCTCCCCAGAAAAGACATTGTCCTGCTCCTCTTTCCTTGTTCTATTTGGTGGTTTTTCTTAAGCATTGATCATCATTTAATATTGACTACTAATTGATTTACTCTGATTACACTGCCTATGATTCTATAACATAAATTCCAGGAGTTGGGATGGAGTTTTTGCAACACTCTCATATCCTCTATACCCAGAACAAAGCCCAGAATATCTCAGGGGCAATATATAGAGAATTTGTATTGAATAAATGGATAGAGGAAAGATTCATCTATACCTCATCTAAACATGGGGAACCACAGCCAGGTATGGTGGGTCAAGTGCTATAATCCCAGCACTTAGGGGGATGGAAGCAAGAACATCAAGAGTTCAAGGTCATCCTTAACTACACAGGAAATTCAAGAGCAATCTGGACAACATGAAACCCACAGTGAAGAAAATAAAACAGGGACAGAGCAATGAGCCTGAGGTTCCACCCACATGCAGGTCACCCAAGGTTTCTAGAACTGAGATCAAATAACCAACCTGTCACCTTCAGTTCCAAAATGGCCTCTTCATTGAAAACTCCCTTTTTGAAGAAACAGATGTATATCCCACTATCTGACATCTGGACATTGCGGATGCGCACAGCTGCCTGACCCTGGGTGAAGAAGTCCATCACCAGCGAGGTCCGCCCTGCATATGCAGCCAGCTGCTCCTCCTTCTGCTCCCGTCCATTCCGATAGACAAATACCGCTTCTGTGAACTTGGTGCGAAACCACCTCAGCTCCATGTCCTCCACACTCAAGGCTGGGGACAGGGAGCAGGGCAGTGTGGCTTCCTCACCCAGCACTACCACAATGGGTTCCGAAGGACCAACCACTCGGAACTTCTCTGTGAACAGAGCAGTGAGAGGGCAAGAGAGACACGGGTCAAGAGAAAACACACACGATCAGGTAAAATGTCATGGAAGAGGGAGTTATGGTCTGGATGAATTGAGCCCCTAAGAATTGCGGGTTAATCAAACTTGACCCCAATGAAGGGGAGATATTCCAATCCTAATAATGTAGCCCAAAATTGATGGTAGAAATTTTTCAGAATGTGCTTCTGGTCCCAGTACCCTCCATGAAAAATCTCTAGTGGACTGGTTCTCAATCTTGACTATACACATGACCACCAGGACTCCTTGAAAGCAACTGGACCCAGCCCAGAGCTTCTGCTTTAACAGGTCTTAACAGGTTCAAGAAGGTGCCTTTGTAAAGATTCCCATAGATGCTCATCCTGTTGGTCCTCTGACCACATCTTGAGAGTTGTAGCTCTGCCTGGCCTGTCCCAAGGCAAAACTGAAACCTCTTCCAAGAGCAAGACTGTGCTCTATGTCAGAGCACCTTGATCATTCAGCCACACCCAGAACACTTCCCACTCCCGATCATAAGTTCATCTATCAGTCCACATCTCCCTCCTCCATTAACTCTATGTGAACTTTAAAACACACAGCCAAGGAGCTAGAGAAATGGCTCAGTGGTTAAGAGCACCGGCTGCTCTTGCACAGGATCTCGATTCGATTCCTAGTACCCACATGTGGTGGTTTGAATAAAAATGTCCCCCATAGGCTCCAAGTATTTGGACATTTTGTCCCCAGATGATGGCGCTGTTTGGAGAGGTCTTAGAAGGTGTGGCTGTCCTGGAGGAAGCACGTCACTGGGGGTGGGCTTAGAGAGTTCTTAAGCCTTGCCAGATCTCCAGTTTCTCTCTTGCTTCCTGTGCCCGCTTGAAGATGTAGAGCTTAGCTTCTGCTTATGCTCCAGCCACCTCCGGCCACCATGCCTCCCCACCATGACAGACTGTAATTCCCCTGGAACCATAAGTGCAAATAAACTCTTCCTTCTATAAATTGCTTTGATCAGTGTTTCTATCACAGCAACAGAAAAGTGACTAATACAGCAATTGGTACCAAGAATGAGGTGTTGGCTGTGAAGAACCTGACCATGTGGGG